AAGTTGCACTTTTAATCGACTAAATGGGCTAAACTCAGAAATTATGAAACGCGAATTTTAGTCGACTAAAAACTCACCTTAATCGACTAAATTGTTTGCACTTTTAGTCGACTAAGCACATTATTTAGTCGACTAAATGTCCCAGATCAAGTTTTTTAAAACCCCCCCATTTCGCAAAGGGGGTTATTTTCAAACCCTAATCGACTAAATCGTTGCATTCCGTCCCCTCTCTCCAACCAAGTCAGAATCTCAACCCTTGAAGGTGCGATTGAAGCTTCCTTGGTTCACACTTGCGAAATCGACATTTAGGTAACGTATTCCGACTTGCATTTGGTTTTAAGTTTAGTTTTTTTTTTGGTTTTCTTCATGCATTTGATTTATGTTTGCGGTTTTGTGGATTTAGGTTACGGGTAGGGTGCTAAGTTTGTTGTGAGGGTGAGGGTTAGGGTTGATGTGGTGCCTTAGGCTTAGGGTTAGGGTTATGTTAGGGTTAGGGTTAGGGTTAAGGTTTACGTTGCTGTTTTGTTTGGGTTGTAGTGTTTAGGGTTAGGAATGGGTTTTTGTGTTCTGTTTTAGGGTTTAGGGTAAGGGTTAGGGTTAGGGTTGAGGGTTGAGGGTTAGGGTTTCTGTTTCTGTTTTAGGGTTAGGGATTGGATGATGTATAAGGCCAAACACAAGGGTGCACTTCCATTTGCTTGTCTTGTTCAGAGGATATTGGAGCATTTTGATGTTCCCATGGGTAATGTGACCTTGAAGAAGACCACAAGGTATAATCATAAGTTTGGAAAACGTCTACTGGAGCAGTGCAAGATGACAAAGAACCCCCAAACAGGAGTGTGGCAGTTCACAGGTGCGGCTGATGTTGAGGTTCCTGATGTTGCTCCAGTTGTAGACATGGTTGACCCCGAGGTGGAGGATGATGATGACGATGATGATGAGGGTGACCAGCAGGAGATAGTTGAGCCTGAGGGTGGGTTTTCATTACGTGATGTCATGAAGGGCATAAACGCCACGCTGAAGAAAATAGGAAAAATGGCGCTGAAACACAAAAAATGGAGGAAGAGTCACGTGCAGAAGGGAAATGAAAGATTTAGACATATACAGGGACGGTTAAAGGGTGTTGAAGATAGGCTTGCTCGTCTAGAGCTTGGACGAGGACAACAGATTGAGGATGTTGCAGGGCAGGGGGCTGATGTGTCAGATGAGGATGACGAGGAGACAGCGTCCGAGGAGGATGAGGATTAGATTTAGGGTTTATGTTTCTATTTTACGTTTCTAGTGTATGTTGTTATGTAATTGACTTCGGTGTTCCTATTTGACATTTGTAGCTTATGTAATATTATGGTTATGAAATGAACTATTTGATGTTTCCATCATGTTGTGAACCGTTTACGTAATTATTGTTGTTTTCTTGTTTACCAAATGAAGGAACAAATATTTTTTACCTTCATGTTTTCAATTTGTGTCTAATCACAGTCCAACGGGTCTAAAATGTCCAATGAAATTCAGAACAGGTGACCTTAACAGAGTTAAAATAAGAACACAAGTTTCGGATACCCTAACTTGGAGCATTTATGCAGTACATGTACATTCGTGGTTTATAACCTATACAATACTATTTTGTACCTGAAAGTGTGTTCCCCAAGTCATTATATGCGTGTACATTGATATTCGATCGGTTTCGTGCCAAAAAAAATCGTGCAAAACAGAATGGGGTGTCAAAACCAGTTATTTAGTCGAGCAACCCGTACTGGTTTAGTCGACTAAACCAGTTGCATTTCAGATTTAGTTCGAAACTCCTGGTACAAATATAATGGATCTCCTAAATGCCAGCCACCGTGGATGTCATCGTCGCCATACAATATCTTCGTCTCATCATTAGGGTGAGCCCAATTAATGAACGAATAGTGTGGGCTGTCGTTCCAAAATTGCTCAATCTCAGACCCTACATCCAAATTTAAACTTATCCGTCAGTACGAAAGAAAACACAAATATATATATATATGCAAAATTAAAACTTTATATTACAATCTTACCACTGCTAACAGGGTCAACACGGAGCGGTGGCATAACCTGGGAACTCAAGTTTCCTGAACTAGTATCAGCGTCAAAATTCCCCTCTACGTCCGTATCGGAGGTGTCACCCAGCGGAATAACACTCTCGGGTTCACCATCGTCTTCACTGTCCATATCCTCGTCATGCCCATCCTCATCCTCGTCTATTTCCCTCAGTGGTATCTGACTTAAGACAGGTGCAGGTGCAGATAAACCGACCACTCTGTCTTCTTGACTTTGACTTCTTCCATGCACAGGTGCAGATGAAGATTGACCACAGTCTATTTCAACATATATCTCACTAAAGTTTTGAAATTTTCGGTCCACAATTGCATCTATGACACAATCCACATCTTCATCGTCACATATATCATTACCAATGTAGAATATAGCATCCTTACCAACTGTAGACTCTACCCTGGCGATCATCCGTTGAACGCCATGGCTGCCGTGTAGCCCCAATTTTTGGTTAATCCTCCCCTTCAGCTCATTGTACGTAGTGCCCCGTTTGATTTTCAACATTTTCATTTTTCCTTCAAATTGAACACCGTTGGGGCCTTCATAATGCTTTCCATCATAGTAAATCATGGTAACATACATGTTTGGACTTGAGCTCATCTTTCACACGAATTTTGGGGGTAGGAATCAGATTTTAGGGGTTAGGGTTCGGATTTGGGGGAAACAATTGAGAAATAAAGGAAAATGACAATGATTTCACAATTACTATGTCTTAGAGGTGGTGGGATGAAATGGAAGGGTGATTGGAAGGTTCCCAGCTGACAAACAAGAGAAAGAGACCAAGAGAGAAGTTTTGATTTCGAATATTTTGAAAATGAGCCCAAGAGAGGTCTGGATATAGGGTTTTTCGCGATCTTTAGTCGACTAAATAATGTGCTTAGTCGACTAAAAGTGCAAACAATTTAGTCGATTAAGGTGAGTTTTTAGTCGACTAAAATTCGCGTTTCATAATTTCTGAGTTTAGCTCATTTAGTCGATTAAAAGTGCAACTTAATCGACTAAATGGGGGCAGGATGGTGGATAGTTCTGGGGGAGGGGCAAATTGGTTATTAATTATTTAATTAGGGGCAAAAGGATCAAAAACCCATCATACTCAAGTCAAATAGCTGAGACTAGGACTAGTGTCAGTTATATACTATTATGTTCGCAAAAATAATAATGACTATTAAAAAATATAGAAAACTTTTAGAAGACGAAAAGATATATTTGCACATAATTGTAGGCTAACATACGTTTATATAAAAATATTGATTTGATTTTGTACAGATTTGAAGATAAATTTAAAAGGTTTATTAGTATCAAGTAACAGAAAACAAAATTTTATTCCTACACAATCATTCAAAAGCGAAACCCACCAGGTGAGAGGAAAAAAAGAAAAAAAAAAAGGAGTAGTCCACTTATCGATGTGAGCGCGGGAGATAAATAAAACCCTAAATTTAATAGTGTAAACATATACTTTTCATTTATAATGGATAATGTTATTAAAGAAAACGTCGACGATATATTTTTCTCTTCTATATCCCTTATTATGAACGGTGATTATATAAACTGAACTAATGTTAAATATATTCTAAATTAAATAGAATTGCATATTTTTTTTTATTTCTCCAACATTTGAGACACAATGTCCAAAGATCTGAGACAGCGTATCATACAGTGGAAGTAGTTGAGATTTGCCACTATTTATATTTTTGTCAAATGGAAAAAAGTGAGTGGTCAAAAGAAGGATTTTGTTTCGGTGGGAAATGCAAAAAATGGAATTTGCAGTCCGCTTACCCTTCATCCTGAAAAAATGCAAGAAAAATCTTGGATTTTGAATTTTCATCATGGATTTAAGGCATAATAAAAGATTAAATGTTTTTCTTGTTATAGGAGATAAATTTATCTTTTATACACATATAAAAATATATAAAAATCCATGTGGATTCATATAAAAAAAATAATGAAAAATATATATAAAAAATAAAATTATTTTCTATAATAGGAGAAATATTAATCTCTATATAAAATTTACAAATATGGAATATTGTAATAATATTCTAGCAAGAAAAAAGAAATAGTATGATAATAAAAACTATAATGGATAAGAATGATGGCTTTTTTACCTTTTACCCCTCATTAATTATTTAATAACCATTTTGTCTCTTATTACAAACTATCTACCAATCTGCCCCTTTTTAATCTATTAAATTGAATATTTAATCGATTAAATGGTCAAATGAAGATTTAATCGATTAAATCTCCAACTTAATCGATTAAATCTTCCTCTTTATCAGAAGAACAACCTTATGCATGAGAGATTTAATCGATTAAATAGGGAGATTTAATTGACTAAATCTTCAAGTCAACGATTTTTGCCTATTTTGACCATTTAATCGATTAAATTTTTGGCTTAATCGATTAAAGAAGGGCAGATTAATAGATAGTTCTGAATAAGAGACAAAATGGTTATTAAATAATTAATGAGAGGCAAAAAGATGAAAAAGCCAAAAAATGACCTATAAAGAACTTAACAGTGGAGCAACGAAATCATTACTCAATATTAATCATCCCCTAAAGTAAACTATATAAAAATAATAATGTCTTTATTTTGTGTTATGGTGTCCTCAAATTTTATGAAAAAAATTATAAAAAATACTCTAATCTTATTAATGACATCCTAAATTCAGTTTTTTGTTTTGCATCTATTTCATCTCACCACTGTTCATTATTTTCTTAATTGAATCTTCCTACTAACTACTAAGTACAACAAATTTGCAACCGTATCTGTGTAACATTAAGGACCCACCACTTTAACCCTTTTTATGTGTTTTTTTTTTTTTTTTAATAATTTCTTAAAAAAAATTCTCTTCTTCTTCTTGTTGTTGTTTTTGTTGGACCCTCTCCTTTCTCCTTTCTCCTTTCTCTTAGGCTTTTCAAAAAGCTTTGTTGGGAAAATACAGGGATGCATGAATGAATGGAGATGAAGGCCTTCAGTGAAAGCGATTGAGATTCATAAATCACATGCTTTTGGAAGCTTCCATTCCATTCCTTATGGTTTGGAGTTGATCAAGATCTGTTTTACCTGTGCCATTTGAATTCCAGAACCATGCATATAGGTATGCATATGCAATGATCCAAAAGCTTCTATTTTTGCTCACAAAATTTAATTTTGTATTTATTTATATGGTTTTCTCTGGTGCCCTGTTTTTGTTTTTGATTATTGTGGGATCGCATTTATTCTTCTATCACGTTTACTGAAAATCTGAGCTTTGGGTGGCTTCTGGGTTTTCTGTTGATATAAATTTGAGAAATTCTTGATGAAATCTCCTTAACTAGTGGGTAACTTTTGCTATGTTGTTGTTATAGCTCTTTGTTAGTGATTTGTTAGATTGGTTAATGCAAAAGATACACACTTTCCATTTGGTTGTTGGTGGAAAAACTAGGGAGAAGTTGTCAAGAAGAGAGAGTAATTTGGAATATTTTTATTTATGTGGTTCCCGGAAGATGAAGAATTCTGTTTGAGCTTTATAGTTGAATTAGGTTCATTTAAGTGGACATTGTTGTCTTCCCACGGTTATTTTACTGGAATTTTTTAACCAAGAGTTTTTTTTATGCACCATTTTCATTTGGGGTAGGCCTCTGTCATCATTTCCACCAAGGTTGCATCCCCATACTCTTCCATGGTGGGTGCCTTGTATACTTAATAACCTTTGCTTGATCAGTAATAACCTTTTTTCTAATTTTGTACTTGACCCCTTCTTTGTGTGAGTGAATTTGATCCACCTTTGGTTTTTATTGCTGTTGGTTTCATCATAATTTATGTATATTGTCTCCTTTATTGCGATATTTAAATATGCATATGTACTAGAATCATTAGTCATGATATATGTTTTTCCCATGAAGAGAAACTTGTGGTACTACTGTTAGAATATTTATCAATATTGAATTCTATCATGCATTGGAGTCTATTTTAATTGGTTTTAGGAGTAAACAGGGGACTATCTTATACATTAAGTCAATTCCCCAGTACATTTTATAGTGTGTCCTTTAGAATTCTTTATTTGTTTTTGTAATATTAGTTTGTTGTTTGGTTTCATTTAAGCAGGTCAAACGGATACAACTTCAGTGAAATGTCTAATCAACAGCATTTCTCGATTCATTCATCTGGTTTCTTGCCAAACAGTAAAACCTATGCCTTTTCAGAAAATCTGTAATAATATGGTTGGTGTGTTAAAGTGTTTGAAGCCTGTGCTTGATGACATTATGGATTACAAAATCCCTTTAGATGAAAATCTATGTAAAGAGTGTGAAGAATTGGATATGCGGGTTAATGAAGCTAGAGATTTCATTGAAAAATGGGGTCCAAAGATGAGCAAAATTCACAGTGTAAGTAATTCACTAATTTGTATTCTTATAGAAAAACTAATACTGTTATCCAACAACTGTCATTCCATTTTGTTTAAGATCATCAGTCTCTTTGCTGCCATCTGAAAGTTGAAAAAAACAATGAACCAGCAATACCTCCACCATTTGTCTTACTTCTCTGGGAGAGGTTGGTTCTAACTTTTTCCTTGGGATCATTCTATTTTCAGGTTCTACAAAGTGGGACATTGTTGATCAAGTTACAGGGCACTTCACTTGATATTTGTCACATGATAGTTAGATCCTTACAGTCACCTCCATCTGCATCAGTTTTGGCTAATCTTCAGGTATGTGCAAAGTTGGAAGTTATCTCCTCTATTTGTTCTTTATTCAAGAAGGTTTGCTTAGTTGATTTGCTTCCTGATAATTATTCTCCTATCCCGCACCCTTCCAAAAATAAAAGCAGGACATTATCAAAATCCTGCATTTTGCAAGATTAATAGTTTTTGTCAATTTTTTTGGGTATCTTGTTGATCATTATAAGTATGAGACTAATTTCTAGCAACATTTTCAGCGCTATATCCAGGAACTTCAATGTCTCAAGAAGGAAACGACAATGGTCAATATAGAAGAAGCACTGAGAAACCAAAGGGATAATATTGAACCTTGCAATGAACATCTAAAGGAAATTATTGAGTTACTTAAATTGACATCAAACCAGGAGCTCTTGAAAGAAAGTATTGCTGTGGAAAAGGAAAGGTTGAATGCTGAAGCCAATAAAATGAAAGGGGACTTGGAAGAAATTAACGAAATTGTGAATCTTGTCTGCAACTTACGTGATTATGTGATGAAAACTGAGAGCCCTATAGTCAAGAGTGGTGTCCCAATCCCTCCATACTTCCGCTGTCCTTTATCGTTGGAACTCATGTTGGATCCTGTAATCGTGGCTTCAGGTCAAACATATGACAGACAATCCGTCCAAAAGTGGCTTGATCATGGGCTGACTGTTTGTCCCAAGACTCATCAGAGACTTACGCATACAAATCTCACTCCCAATTACACTGTGAAAGCTATGATAGCAAATTGGTGTGAGGAAAATGATGTCAAACTTTCCAGTAACTCTGAGCACAATAATTCTTCCCGTATCACATCCCCCTCAGATCGTTTATTGCCTCAAGACTTAGCTCATGCATGTGGTTTTGGGTCTTTACCTAGTCACAATTCCATTTCAACATCATCTCTTCAAACTGGAGATACTTTTGAGAAGAAAAAGGGTGATAACTCTTTCAGATTAAGTGGAGAATCCAATGGATGCCAGAGTGGAGCAACAGAAAAGTGTGAGCAACAATCCCCATATAGTCACAGCAGAAGTGAATCATTTTCAAGTTCATTTTCTAGTACTGATTGTGTGCCTGCAGTTTCAAAAGAGGCGTCAGGGATATCTAGTAAGCATCAAAATGTGAAGGTGTTGTCCGGAGAAATCACAAATGTGTGTCCTGCTTCTCCTGGTAATAAACAACCAGGGTTATCTGGAAAGCAATTTCAAAGCCCTGGATCAAAAGTGGGAGGGATGGAGAATGGAAAAAATAATAATAATAATAGTCAATCAAGAACTGATTCTCATCCTGTTTTTAACATGGGATTGGATGGCTTGACCACCTCATCTCATGTCAATAAATTGATTGAAGACCTTCACAGTCCATCAATTGAAGTGCAAACTACTGCTGCAGAAGAATTGAGGCTCCTTACAAAGTGTAACACAGAAAACCGTATCATTGTAGGGCAGTGTGGGGCGGTCGTGCCTTTAATTTCACTGCTATATTCAGATGTAAAGATAACAGAAGAGCATGCTGTGACAGCTCTGCTGAATTTGTCAATTAATGAAGACAACAAGGCCTTGATCATGGAAGCAGGAGCCATAGAACCACTTATCCATGTTTTGAAGGCAGGAAATGATGGTGCCAAGGAGAATTCTGCAGCAGCTCTATTCAGCCTCTCTGTAATAGAGAACAACAAGGCAAAGATTGGCCGTTCTGGTGCAGTTAAAGCTTTGGTGGATCTTCTTGCGACAGGAACTCTTAGAGGGAAGAAGGACGCTGCTACTGCTTTATTTAACCTGTCAATATTTCATGAGAATAAAGCTCGTATAATTCAAGCTGGAGCGGTGAAATTTCTGGTTCGGCTAATGGACCCTGCTGATGGAATTGTTGACAAGGCTGTTGCTCTTCTGTCAAACCTGTCAACAATTACAGAGGGCCGATTAGAAATTGCAAGGGAAGGGGGCATCCCCTTACTGGTTGAAATTGTTGAATCAGGTTCCCAGCGGGGAAAGGAAAATGCTGCCTCCATTCTCTTGCAACTATGCCTTCATAGTTCCAGGTTTTGTACTCTGGTTTTGCAAGAAGGAGCTGTACCTCCCCTAGTTGCATTATCTCAATCTGGTACACCAAGAGCAAAGGAAAAGGTATCAAGCTTATCATCCTTTTCCTTTCCATCCTTATAAGTGGTCAGCAATTTTATTATGTGCATATACCAGCCAGTTTGCTTCATTTGGATGAGTTATTGTCCATCTCATGGTATAATAATGTTGAATCCTTCGGTGTCGATCATAATTATGCACTCATTTTGTTTAAACTAAGGGCTGAAATCTTGTTTTCTAATATTTGCTCAATAGTGCATTCTTATGTGATAGGAATACACCAACCATACTAATTATGGGAAAGCCTCACCCCAAAAGCTAGCTTGTAAGACCAAAGTTCATATAAACCCTACATCAGAACCCTATGTTTCCGATATGGGACTCCAAGTCCCATACCTTGCAATTGGATCGTAACATTGGAAATATAAGATTTTGGTATGGGGTTTATATGGACTTTGACCTCTCTTACCTTACAAACTAGCTTTTGGAGTGAGAATCACCCAAGATTCGTATCAATATCATAACAAACTTTGGTGGTCATGGCATACATTATCTCATGTAATGAGCATAATCTGAAATGTGCAAGAAAAAGCGTCAACATGTACACGTTCATGCAGGCACAACAGCTTCTCAGTCATTTTCGTAATCAGCGGGAAGGAGCTACTGGGAAGGGAAAATCATGAAGATAGACACTTTTGGTTATTTCATTTTGCCCCTTTTTTTCCCCCTTAGTAACTTGTGATAATCTTATTCCCCTCCCTATTCTATAGCTGCTGTTTAGGACTTAATGACTACTTTCATTGCATTCTTTTGATTTATACATGTATCATTTGTGAAGCTTCTTATCTTCTTCCAGTGGCTTGTCATTGGTTTTTCTCAAGTTCAAAATTGAACTTCACTGCTACGCTGCCTCATTTCTCCCCCTATTGTCTGGGATGTTTATTTTCGAATATCTCTTGTAGGCTTTAATTTTCTTTCCACTTTTGTGGCTGTTCTTGGGAGGAGTTAGTCTACTTTTTGAAGCTTAAGGTTGGCAAGATGTAAACCAAAACACTATTCAGCTAGAGCATAACTTATGTGGTCAATGCTGTACATATTTGTACATATACTATAGAATCTTGTGATGTACTATAAATTATTGTACCTTGTACTGTTATTTGAGCTGTTTTATTATTATGTATTCAACCCTTTGTTAATCTATACATTTTAAGCTAAGATTCAAGAAACTCACTACCATATTGGTCATCGAAAGTTCTAAGGGTGTGAGTGTGAAGACATATAACTGTGGGAACTTCTACAGTTAACCAATAGTAGCTTTTGTTCTCTCTCTCTGAATATATTTTGACCCTGTTTGAATATTGTTTTGTTACGTTAAGAAGGTCATCTAGGCCCAAGTCATTTAGATGGCTTTGTAACTTGATTTGTCACCGTTGATATTTTAGTCCATTCATTAGTTGATTGCATTAGGACAGTTACAATGTAGTTATACTTAGGAATATAGCACAAAGGTGTCATATAAATACTTGTAAACAGAAGAGTTGAATATCAATAAAAGAATTACTTGAAAAAGGGTATTCTAATATATTATAGAATTGTAAATAATCTGTACAAAGGGTTCTCTATTTATAAAGAATATTTTACCTACTTTTAACCTAATGGGCTTGGCCCAATACAACAAAGAGCTTGGCCCAATACAACAATAAATGACTAAATAAAAACTAAATAATAACTAAATCAATATTATTTACAACACTCCCCCTCAAGCTGAGGAATAAATATTTATCATTCCCAGCTTGCTAGTAAGTTCTTGAAATCTGTCTGAAGGAAGCCCCTTTGTTAATAGATCAGCCAATTGACGCCCAGTGGGAATGTATGGAGTGGTAATCGACCCGCTATCAAGTTTCTCTTTGATGAAATGGCGGTCAACCTCAATATGTTTAGTCCGATCATGTTGAACTGGATTATGAGCTATACAAATAGCGGACTTATTATCACACAGCAGCTTCATAGGTCCCTCACATTTTATTTTGAGATCATCAAGAACAATTTTCAGCCATAGTAACTCACAAATGCCTTGAGCCATAGCTCGAAATTCAGCTTCTGCACTTGATCTGGCAACCACATCTTGTTTCTTACTTCTCCATGTCACCAAGTTACCGCAAAGAAACATGCAATAACCAGTGGTAGAACGACGGTCAGTCACGGATCCAGCATAATCAGCATCTGTGTAGACTTCTAAAGATAGATTGCCATCACGTCGGAATAACAATCCTTTACCAGGAGTACCTTTAAGATACTGAAGAATTCTCTCTACTGCCTGCATGTGTTTTTCTTTTGGATCGTGCATAAACTGACTGACAACACTAACAGCATAAGCTAGGTCTGGTCTAGTATGGGCCAGATATATCAATTTCCCAACTAGCCGTTGATATTGTCCTTTATCAACTGGAGGACTCTCTTCTTCATAGCCCATCTTGTGATTCTGCTCAATAGGAGTATTAGAGGGTTTACACCCGAGCTTTCCTGCTTCTTTGAGAAGATCAAGAACATATTTCCTCTGGCTGATAAAAATTCCTTTGCTTGAATGAGCTACTTCTATCCCTAGGAAATATCTCAGTTTCCCAAGGTCTTTGATTTCAAACTCAGAGGCAAGCCGTGTTTGCAGAATCTGTCTCTCCACAAAATCATCACCTGTGATAATAATATCATCAACATATACAAGGAGCACAGTAAGCTTCCCATTTTGGGAGTGCTTGAAGAAAAGAGTGTGATCTCCTTGGCTCTGTCTGTATCCTAAGGTCATCATAAGTAGAAGCAATGGGTAAGTCATTAGAGATATCAGAAGAAATAGACAAATCATGAGAGGAAATAATATTAGAATCAGAAACAGGAGATTCAGAAGAAATAGGAGATTCAGGACTTACCAGTGGTTCAGACGATTGAGGTTGCTGGTGAGACAGTATGGGTTGTATCTCAGGTGTATTTGAAGGTTCTGACACACCAGGAGCAGACACACTAGGAAGAGAGAAGATTGATCCAGACTCAAAGAAGGAAGGGGACGAGTCTTCTGAAGAACTATTCTCCCCCTGACGATGAGGACCCAGGAAATAAGATTCAGATTCTTGAAAGGTGACATCCATAGAAACAAAAAATTTCCGACTTGGTGGATGATAACACTTGTACCCTTTTTTATAAGGGTTATAACCAAGGAAGATACACTTAAGAGCCCTAGGATCCAACTTACTCCGATGTTGTTTATGAACATGGACAAAGGCAACACATCCAAACACTCTTGGTGGAAGGCTCTGCAATATGGGAACAGAAGGAAAGAAGGAAGTCATGGAATGAATAGGACTGATATTGTTAAGGACCCGTGAAGGTAAACGGTTGATCAAAAAAGTTGCAGCTAATACTGCTTCTCCCCAATAAGAACTAGGAACAAATGTCTGAAAAAGTAGTGCTCTAGCAACTTCAAGAAGGTGACGATTTTTCCTTTCAGCAACCCCGTTTTGTTGAGGGGTATCAACACATGTGAGCTCATGAATCATACCTCTGTCTGAAATGAATTGTGACAGGCGTTGATTGACGTACTCAGTACCATTATCAGATCTGAGTCTTTTAATACCCTTACCAAACTGAGTCTCAACCATGTGATGAAACCGAATAAATATCTCTGGTACTTCAGACTTGTCTTTCATCAAGTATATCCATGTTATCCGAGTACAATCGTCAATAAAAGAAACAAACCACCTAGCACCTGAAACACTGTGCACTTTAGAAGGGCCCCAAACATCAGAATGGATAAGAGAAAAAGGTTCTCTGCTTTTAATAGTGCTAGAAGGAAATGACACTCGATGGTGTTTTGCAAATTCACAAACATCACAATGAAAGGTCTCAACCGACTGATTGAGAAACAGAGAGGGGAACATAGACTTCAAAAGACTAAATGGTGGATGCCCGAGACGCTTGTGATGGAGCCAAATCATAGACTCTGCAGTAGAAGGATGACGTGTCATTAATAACTGATTTTTGCTAGCATGGTCTGGAAGGAGATGATACAACCCATCCTGTTCATTAGCAACTCCAATTGTCTTCTTCGTGGTAAGATCCTGAATAAGACAATGAGAAGGAAAAAATGTGATAGAACAATTCAAATCAGTTGTAAGTTTTTGAGTGGAGATAAGATTAGTAGAAAGCTGAGGAACATAAAGAACATTTTTAAGAAACAAGGAAGGTTGAATTTGAATGTTACCAGAACCAATAACTGATTTATGGGATCCATCAGCTACGAATATAGTATGACTACCAACAGTAGGATGATAAGAACAAAATAACTCAGTACGACAAGCCATATGATCAGTTGCACCAGAATCCAAAATCCATGAGGTTTTAAAATCAGTGCAAGAAGCAAGAAGAGATATAGAACGTGTGCTCTTACCAGATAAGATCGAAGAACTATCATGCTCAGCCATTCTTTAACAAAAAAAGTTAACAACCAGCGATAAAATCAACCAAACAGAATATCAAATGACCTCTGATCAGAAAAATAATTACAGATCCAGATAGAAGACAAGAAGACGAGAAGAATGGTGGTGGTCCGGTCCAAAAACACGGCCGCACGCGCCTCCACGCGCCGGAGAAAGGAGCTGCGCGTGGGATTCACTCGCCGGGAAAGGGGCGGCGCGTGAGAGCGCGTGGATGGGCTTCGCCGGCTGAGATTTTTCTGGTGTGGTCGTCTGGTGAGCGCACACCTGTCTGTGGGTGGTCGCGGTTGAAAAGTCGCCGGAAAGTGGTCCAAACGGTGAAGACAGATCTGATTGGAGGCGATCGGAGGTGTTTCGGTCGTTTGTGGCGGAGGAACACTGCGTAGAATGATAGATCGGAGGAAAAATAAGGTCAACAATGGTCCCCTTGGTCCAAAAGGTCCCCGGAAAAATTTTCCGGTGGCGGCTAATGACGGCAAGAGGCAAAGAAATTAGGGTTTTGTTAAAAAAGAAGATAATATGTGCGGAAGCAAAGCCCTCAGATCGAGAGCTCTGATACCAACTTGAAAAAGGGTATTCTAATATATTATAGAATTGTAAATAATCTGTACAAAGGGTTCTCTATTTATAAAGAATATTTGACCTACTTTTAACCTAATGGGCTTGGCCCAATACAACAAAGAGTTTGGCCCAATACAACAATAAATGACTAAATAAAAACTAAATAATAACTAAATCAATATTATTTACAACAGAATTCACAATTTTCATTTCCTTTTCTCTGTTATTTCCTCTGTCTTTTAGAATTCATACCCTATCATTGGTGCTTTCACGATGCGGATTCAAGAACTTTCTGAGGAGTTGAATACGTTTCAAGAGCGTGTCGATGCCAATTTCGTTTCGTTCCAGCAGCGTGTGGATTTAAATCTGGAAGAGATTCGCACTCAAGCCTCAGACACACGTTCTCAGATTTCGTTGTTGGTACTGCAAATGCAACAATTGCAAGATGCTCTTCTTTCGCGTGTGCCTCCAGCGAGGGATTCTTCTGCAATTCCACACAGGTGCATGTTGATACTTCGTCTTCGCAACCTAATCCCAATCAACATCATGTGATTGATCAGCGTACCTTACTCAAAGGCGTTCGCATGGAAATTCCATTATTCAATGGAACAGAGCCGAATGTTTGAATTTTCAAGGCGGAACTTTTCTTTCTTCTCCAACACATTCCGGAAGATTCCAAGGTTCCTTTGGCTGGTATTCGCATGGACGGCACGACAGCGGCGTGGTTCCAGTGGATGTTCAATGGGGGGACGATCAATACATGGACAGCTTTCACTTTGGCCTTACGTCAAAGATTTGGTACGTCTGCCTTTGTGAATCTGAAAGGGGCATTATCCAAGTTAACTCAGGTTTCGTCTTTACGGGATTACATACAACGTTTTGAATCGTTGGTGAATCAAGTGCCTGAATTGGATGATGATTTACTAATGAATTTTTTTGTCTCGGGATTACAACCGGAGTTACGAAGTGCAGTACAATTGAGGGGACCCATCACCCTTCATCAAGCTGTTCAACTGGCAATGGCTTACGATGACCATCATGGAGAACTCAGAGCTTCTTTTTCTGGTGGTTCGAAAAGGTTTTTTCCTAAACCTGTTACCTCTGTTGAGCAGACTGCTCCCCCAACTTTGGGCTCGACTCACAACCAACCATTGGCTTTGCCTCCTCCTTCCAATTTAAAACGCTTGTCTAATGAGGACTTGCATAAGAAACGGGAGTTGGGCTTATGCTATACTTGCGATGAGAAGTGGACCAAACAGCACAGATGCAAGTCCAAACTCATGATTCTAATAGGTGAAGACAGTTCTCTGGAACCTGATCCAGATGAAGAACATATTGTGTGGCATACTGAGCAAGGATTGGGTGAACACATGGATGCTTCTTTGCATGCGTTATGTGTGAATCAACACCAGCATGCTTTGAAGTTTATTACCTCTTTGCAAGGTAAACTCATTTCGATTTTGGTTGACTCAAGGAGCACTCACAATTTCATACAGAGCCAGTTAGTTACACAGCTTAATCTGCCAATGGTACGCTCACAAAAATTAAGGGTATTCCTTGGTAATGGGGAATTTTTACTCTCAGATTATAAATGCCTGCAAGTACCTATCAGATTGCAAAATATCTTGTTTCATGTTGATTTCAGGGTAATTGATTTAGCTAACCTTCATGTTATTTTGGGAATGCCTTGGCTACAATTGCTTGGGAGGGTGACTCGTGATTACAGGAAGTTCACCATGGAATTTTCATGGAAAGGAGGTGCTGTGGTCCTTCAAGGCACGCAACCATCACAGGAGCGACATTCTCCTAACCTCCAAACAAGTAAAGAATGTGCTACGTGTTGTTCCATGCACTTGTTATCTGGACAGGCAACTACAGTTGAGGTCCATTCTGAAATTGCAACACTAGAGGATAAGCTGGAACCGAGTTTGTGGGAAGTAATTTTTGCTCACCAGGAGATTTTTGTTGTTCCTTCTGAACTTCCTCCATTTCGTGGCATGGATCATTCTATACATTTGTTGGAAGGTTTTAAACCAATAAATGTTAAGCCTTATAGGTATGCACACTCTCAGAAAACAGAGATTGAGAAGCAAGTAGCCAGATTGCTTACATCTGGGTTCATTCAGTATTCACATAGCCCTTATTCTTCTCCGGTGCTTTTGGTTAAGAAACAAGACAACACATGGCGTATGTGTATTGATTACAGGGCCCTAAATGCTGCCACCATTAAGGATCGTTTCCCAATTCCCACCATTGATGAATTGTTAGATGAATTGGGAGGTTCTTCTATATACTCCAAGTTGGATTTGAGAGCGGGATATCACCAAATTAGGATGCGACCTGCTGACATTCCGAAGACGGCATTTCGAACTCATGAGGGCCACTACGAGTTCTTAGTCATGCCTTTTGGTTTGACTAATGCCCCAGCTACTTTTCAAACCATGATGAATCATATTTTCAAACCTTATCTTCGCAAATTTATCATTGTTTTTTTTATGACATTCTAATTTTTAGCAGGTCAATTTTGGAGCATGTGCAACATCTTACCTTAGTTTTACAGTGCTTGAAACAACACAAATTTTTTTTAAAGGCCAGCAAGTGTGCTTTTGGTGTTGACACTATTGATTATTTGGGTCATGTTGTCTCCAAACAAGGTGTCTTTGCGGATCCCAAGAAAATTGAAGCAATGTTGCAGTGGCCAGAGCCTAAGTCTCTTAAACAACTCCGTGGGTTTTTAGGCTTGACGGGTTACTATAGGAGATTTGTTAAAGGCTATGCTTCCTTAGCTTTACCCTTAACGGATCTTTTGAAGGGTGCTGACAAATTTACCTGGACTTCTGAGGCAGCTGTAGCTTTTTGAAAGTTAAAGCAAGTTATGACATCCACTCCAATTCTAGCTCTTCCCAATTTTACAGATCGGTTTGTGATTGAAACAGATGCATCCATCACTAGCATTGGTGCAGTCCTTTTGCAACATGACAAACCTATCTCCTTCTTCAGTAAAAAGTTGGGAATTCGTATGTCTAATGCTTCCACATATGTGAGGGAGTTATATGCAATTACGGCTGCTGTCAAGCGTTGGCGGCAGTATTTGCTAGGCATTGAATTCACTATCAGGACTGATCATCAGAGTTTAAAAGAAATTCTGACTCAGACCATTCAAACTTCTGAGCAACAAAAGTATTTGTGCAAGCTGTTGGGTTACAATTTTCGCATAGAATACAAGGCTGGTTGTTCGAATGTGGTTGCTGATGCTCTTTCCCGAGTTTATGAAGATGCTTCTCTGCATGCACTCCTCTCTCAACCATCATTTGATGTGTTAGCAGCTGTTAGGCAACAAAACGCAGATGACTCATATTTGTTGCAGCTACACCAACAGTTTCGCGATGGTGTGCTTAATGATCCAGCTATTTCTGTTCGTGATGGATTGTTCTTTCACAATAATAGGTACTTGTTGGGTCCTGCTTCTCCTTTAGTTCAGAATGTGCTACGTGTTGTTCCATGCACTTGTTATCTGGACAGGCAACTACAGTTGAGGTCCATTCTGAAATTGCAACACTAGAGGATAAGCTGGAACCGAGTTTGTGGGAAGTAATTTTTGCTCACCAGGAGATTTTTGTTGTTCCTTCTGAACTTCCTCCATTTCGTGGCATGGATCATTCTATACATTTGTTGGAAGGTTTTAAACCAATAAATGTTAAGCCTTATAGGTATGCACACTCTCAGAAAACAGAGATTGAGAAGCAAGTAGCCAGATTGCTTACATCTGGGTTCATTCAGTATTCACATAGCCCTTATTCTTCTCCGGTGCTTTTGGTTAAGAAACAAGACAACACATGGCGTATGTGTATTGATTACAGGGCCCTAAATGCTGCCACCATTAAGGATCGTTTCCCAATTCCCACCATTGATGAATTGTTAGATGAATTGGGAGGTTCTTCTATATACTCCAAGTTGGATTTGAGAGCGGGATATCACCAAATTAGGATGCGACCTGCTGACATTCCGAAGACGGCATTTCGAACTCATGAGGGCCACTACGAGTTCTTAGTCATGCCTTTTGGTTTGACTAATGCCCCAGCTACTTTTCAAACCATGATGAATCATATTTTCAAACCTTATCTTCGCAAATTTATCATTGTTTTTTTTATGACATTCTAATTTTTAGCAGGTCAATTTTGGAGCATGTGCAACATCTTACCTTAGTTTTACAGTGCTTGAAACAACACAAATTTTTTTTAAAGGCCAGCAAGTGTGCTTTTGGTGTTGACACTATTGATTATTTGGGTCATGTTGTCTCCAAACAAGGTGTCTTTGCGGATCCCAAGAAAATTGAAGCAATGTTGCAGTGGCCAGAGCCTAAGTCTCTTAAACAACTCCGTGGGTTTTTAGGCTTGACGGGTTACTATAGGAGATTTGTTAAAGGCTATGCTTCCTTAGCTTTACCCTTAACGGATCTTTTGAAGGGTGCTGACAAATTTACCTGGACTTCTGAGGCAGCTGTAGCTTTTTGAAAGTTAAAGCAAGTTATGACATCCACTCCAATTCTAGCTCTTCCCAATTTTACAGATCGGTTTGTGATTGAAACAGATGCATCCATCACTAGCATTGGTGCAGTCCTTTTGCAACATGACAAACCTATCTCCTTCTTCAGTAAAAAGTTGGGAATTCGTATGTCTAATGCTTCCACATATGTGAGGGAGTTATATGCAATTACGGCTGCTGTCAAGCGTTGGCGGCAGTATTTGCTAGGCATTGAATTCACTATCAGGACTGATCATCAGAGTTTAAAAGAAATTCTGACTCAGACCATTCAAACTTCTGAGCAACAAAAGTATTTGTGCAAGCTGTTGGGTTACAATTTTCGCATAGAATACAAGGCTGGTTGTTCGAATGTGGTTGCTGATGCTCTTTCCCGAGTTTATGAAGATGCTTCTCTGCATGCACTCCTCTCTCAACCATCATTTGATGTGTTAGCAGCTGTTAGGCAACAAAACGCAGATGACTCATATTTGTTGCAGCTACACCAACAGTTTCGCGATGGTGTGCTTAATGATCCAGCTATTTCTGTTCGTGATGGATTGTTCTTTCACAATAATAGGTACTTGTTGGGTCCTGCTTCTCCTTTAGTTCAGAATGTGCTACGTGTTGTTCCATGCACTTGTTATCTGGACAGGCAACTACAGTTGAGGTCCATTCTGAAATTGCAACACTAGAGGATAAGCTGGAACCGAGTTTGTGGGAAGTAATTTTTGCTCACCAGGAGATTTTTGTTGTTCCTTCTGAACTTCCTCCATTTCGTGGCATGGATCATTCTATACATTTGTTGGAAGGTTTTAAACCAATAAATGTTAAGCCTTATAGGTATGCACACTCTCAGAAAACAGAGATTGAGAAGCAAGTAGCCAGATTGCTTACATCTGGGTTCATTCAGTATTCACATAGCCCTTATTCTTCTCCGGTGCTTTTGGTTAAGAAACAAGACAACACATGGCGTATGTGTATTGATTACAGGGCCCTAAATGCTGCCACCATTAAGGATCGTTTCCCAATTCCCACCATTGATGAATTGTTAGATGAATTGGGAGGTTCTTCTATATACTCCAAGTTGGATTTGAGAGCGGGATATCACCAAATTAGGATGCGACCTGCTGACATTCCGAAGACGGCATTTCGAACTCATGAGGGCCACTACGAGTTCTTAGTCATGCCTTTTGGTTTGACTAATGCCCCAGCTACTTTTCAAACCATGATGAATCATATTTTCAAACCTTATCTTCGCAAATTTATCATTGTTTTTTTTATGACATTCTAATTTTTAGCAGGTCAATTTTGGAGCATGTGCAACATCTTACCTTAGTTTTACAGTGCTTGAAACAACACAAATTTTTTTTAAAGGCCAGCAAGTGTGCTTTTGGTGTTGACACTATTGATTATTTGGGTCATGTTGTCTCCAAACAAGGTGTCTTTGCGGATCCCAAGAAAATTGAAGCAATGTTGCAGTGGCCAGAGCCTAAGTCTCTTAAACAACTCCGTGGGTTTTTAGGCTTGACGGGTTACTATAGGAGATTTGTTAAAGGCTATGCTTCCTTAGCTTTACCCTTAACGGATCTTTTGAAGGGTGCTGACAAATTTACCTGGACTTCTGAGGCAGCTGTAGCTTTTTGAAAGTTAAAGCAAGTTATGACATCCACTCCAATTCTAGCTCTTCCCAATTTTACAGATCGGTTTGTGATTGAAACAGATGCATCCATCACTAGCATTGGTGCAGTCCTTTTGCAACATGACAAACCTATCTCCTTCTTCAGTAAAAAGTTGGGAATTCGTATGTCTAATGCTTCCACATATGTGAGGGAGTTATATGCAATTACGGCTGCTGTCAAGCGTTGGCGGCAGTATTTGCTAGGCATTGAATTCACTATCAGGACTGATCATCAGAGTTTAAAAGAAATTCTGACTCAGACCATTCAAACTTCTGAGCAACAAAAGTATTTGTGCAAGCTGTTGGGTTACAATTTTCGCATAGAATACAAGGCTGGTTGTTCGAATGTGGTTGCTGATGCTCTTTCCCGAGTTTATGAAGATGCTTCTCTGCATGCACTCCTCTCTCAACCATCATTTGATGTGTTAGCAGCTGTTAGGCAACAAAACGCAGATGACTCATATTTGTTGCAGCTACACCAACAGTTTCGCGATGGTGTGCTTAATGATCCAGCTATTTCTGTTCGTGATGGATTGTTCTTTCACAATAATAGGTACTTGTTGGGTCCTGCTTCTCCTTTAATTCCTGCACTTATCAAAGAAGCTCATGCTTCATTTGTTGGAGGACATGTTGGAACACTACGTACTTTTCTTCGGTTGTCATCAGTTTTTTACTGGCCTTCCATGCGCACTGATGTCAAGCAGGTTGTTCGAGAGTGTGCTGTTTGCCAACAAGTAAAGCCTGAAACTTCCAAGATTTCTGGTTTACTTCAGCCCCTTCCAGTACCTGAAGGAGTTTTTGAAGAGTTGTCCATGGATTTTATCTCTGGACTGCCTTGTTCGAAGGGATTTACCACAATCCTTGTAGTGGTTGATAGGCTCTCTAAGTTTTCCTATTTTGGTTCTCTTCCTTCATCATATACTGCAGTTTCAGTAGCCACTCTGTTTTGTGAGTTGATTGTGCGAAATCATGGGTTTCCTAGGTCCATTTTGTCCGATCGTGACAGCATCTTCCTTAGTCACTTTTGGAAACAGCTTTTCTCTTTGAGTGGCACCACACTTCGGACATCATCATCATATCATCCTCAATCCGATGGACAAACGGAGGTGACTAATAGGTATTTAGAGCAATACTTACGCTCTTTTTGTCATGACAGACCTCATACTTGGGCCACTTTTCTTTGTTGGGCTCAATTCCATTATAATTCAGCTACCCATTCTTCTATTGGTATCACACCATATCAGGCTGTATATGGAAAACCTCCCTTGATGATTCCATTTTATCCACGCGGGTTGGTTAAAATAGAAGCTGTTGACTCTATGTTATTGCAGTGCAATGAAGTGTTAAAGGAGTTGAAAACTCAGTTAGAACGTGCCAGGAACAGAATGAAAGTGCAGCATGACAGACATCATAAAGAGCGTTCCTTTGTGGTGGGTGATCGAGTATGGGTTAAGCTACAACCCTACTGACAGGTATCTGTGGCAAGAAGAACAAATCACAAGCTTGCTCGTCGTTTTTTTGGCCCATTTCCAATTATTAAAGTGCTGGGTCCTGTGGCATATGAATTACAACTCCCTTCAGGTTGTCGTATACATCATGTGTTTCATGTTTCTTTGTTGAAACCTTATGTGGGTTTGAGTTTGTGGGTGGGTGCTTCA